GGTTTGATCTTGTATCTCAGGCTTTTTTTGAGGAAGAGGTGGGATTAAAGATCTGCTGAGATAATTTCCAACCTGAATTTTCCTGTGAACCCAAAACACAATTTTTGAAGACAGGAGCAGTTTTTTAAAGAAAGAGAATGCTTTATGCATTACACTATTATTTTGCTAAATGAGCAATCTTTTCTTTCCACATGATCTTATGAATATTTTCAAAATATGCCAGAAAGACTTTCTATTTTTTTGTATGGTTTTATATATTTATATGGTTTTCTATTACTGGATGCACTTTTGTCTAAGATCTTAAGTGCCTGGTATAATCTTAGACCATTTTGCCAATCAGGTACTACTTTGTTGACAGCAATTGAATTTCACACCAAATTTATAACAGAGTAAAAAAAGGCTAGAGAATTTTGAAACAGAAGAGTAAGGAATTCTTTTATCTCTGTGAGTGAAATGTGTGAACAGAATGGAGAACAGAACACAGTCTCATCAAGTAGTAGCAGCATCACATAACTCATACGAAGACAGCACTGAGATCCTTCTTTAAACCAGCTACTTAAAACTATTGGAAATGCTTCAGTGTCAATGTCAAAAGGAAGGAGATGCTGGACCAGTGATTCCCTTTCAGCCACCTTCAAATAAGTTCATCATATTTATGGTTATTTCACTGGAAGCAAAAAAGGTGGTTACTTGACCCAGCAACATTTTGGAACCTGTGGTGCTTCTCCAGCTAGTAGTGTTGAATGGAAGCAGGAATGTGGCCCTGCTCTCCTCAACAAAGATGTATGAACAATAATACAGTGCATATTTAATACAGTGTTTATATATAAAAGAGTGAGAGAAGAAAAATAATGACAGACATAAAAATTCTGAAAGAAGGACATTTTAATATAATCTCCAACAAAGCAGACATATTAAAAGGGAGAAGGCCTGTAGATTTTTCAAATTTTGATAAAATCCTTGAACTCTTCTCAAAGCAAGAGTAGATCTGACTTTTATCTCAGTTTGCACATACTAAATTCTGCTAAAGCTTAACAATTTATATGGTATCTGTGTTGACTTTTATAGAAAATTAAAATGCAAAAAATGGTACAACTTTAATATTTTTGAACTAATTGCATATTGATTGTTAATTTGACAAACATGTTCTATAGGTTCGAACATTGCAATTCACCATGTAGTTCTGTATAATTATGAATTTGACAAAGAAGTAAGTATCAGCATGTATATAAAGAAATGTACATCCTTGAGAATATATGACTTCTGCAAATATATTGTTTTATTTTTATAAGACCAACCCATACGCTTCTAAATGCATGACTTTAAGATTATCACTGGCATGAAAAGTGAAATCTTCAATATGATAGTATGTATATCTCAGAGAAATAGACTGTACTTTGCATTGCATTTTTGATTTTAATTTGATGTGTAAAACAATTTGTTTCATAAGTGGATATTATGCAGTAAGATAGTACCAAGTCAATAGTGTAATTACATTGCATATAAGATATAAATGCACTTAAATTTTCACATCTCATTGGTGCTTCAGAAGTATTGGCTTTGTTCTGTTTAAAGCCTATTAAGTGTAGTTTTTTCTTCTGAAACTTGTGTATTCTGGGAGGGTGTGCATTTTGCACAACATTTAATCCATTCTGCACAACATTTAGTCCATTCAAATAAAAAGAAAACAGCTGGAAAATTTTGAGCTCTAGAATTACTTTCTAAAATACATTTGGTTTTATATTACAATGCAATCTCAGCATTTTAATAATCTGATGTGAAAATTGTTATTCCTTGAGGGGGAAAAAATCTCAAATGAAATTTTATGGCATTTTATAACCCAGATAACTACTGTTATTGAATGGATATCTCTTGATGTTCAATAGTATTAATTAACAAAGCCTTATGTGAATCAATGCAAAAAAACTCTACCAGTAGTAATAAGCCTTTCCCAGAATAAAGATGTATAAGAGCATTAGTACATTAGATTATTTTAACATTTAGAAATATACAATGACTTCTCATAAACAAACATGTTTGGCAAACTCCTGATTAGTTGTTTCAGTTTTGTTAATCTTAATGCAAGGTGAAGATACTGAGTGCAGAGAAATGGATTTTGCTGTCAAAGACAATTTATATGCCATTACCAATTAAACCTGTACATCTTAAGTACTTACTTGTGCCTGTTTCTAAACAGAAGAGGAAGGGAAAGAATAAAAGTCTTTCACTGTTTCTAAAAGGAAAGAGTGGACTGTGACAAGAATTTCATTTGTTCCCCAAGCCTGAAAGGAGATAAAGAAATACATTAGACTACATTTCAGGTTGCATTGTCAGTTTTAAAACAAACTTCAGAAATATAAAACAGAAGAAAGAAAAAAAATCCTTTCATTTAAATCTTTTAAGACACAAAAATCATTTATCTACCCTTCTGCATTTTCATTTCTCTACCCCAACACTGAATGTGACATCAAAAGCATGTTTGCTGAGTAGCCCTTTTATTACAGTGCTCTGACACTCCCAGCAAGACCCTGTGAATGTACCTGCTTTAATTCTGCTCTGTTTAGAAAGCAAATGGTAATAACTCACAGTCCCTGAGGTAATCTTTACTGAGACCTCTCATTCCCACCCCTGCATTACTGTCACTAAGGACATTGAGCATTCCCATGCTTTCTATTTATGAAACTTATTTTCCACTCTGTTGGCTTCTGCACACATTTTTTTTTTTTTTCCCTTCCCCTCTAATGTACAGTAGGGTCCTCAGCTTGCTTCTAAGACACTAATACAACAGTTTGAAAGGGTCACGATCAATAAAGGAAAGAGCAGTAAGGATGTTGACAGTTTTTAAGCCCAGCAGACTTTGGCTTGGCTGACCTTATGCTTCCTCCTGTTTCCTGCAGGGCACTGTGTGTGTAACAGTCATGCAGAGAGCGAATACATTTGCATGCAAATGTAGAAAGGATAGTTGAACATCTCAGTTGAAGAGAGTTTGGTAAGGGAGCAACAGAGAACCAAAGTGGGACTCAGCACACTTAGATTCCCTGTGAAAGTGTCAGACTCAGCTTAATGGCTCTGGGTAAATAATTTCTCCTTGGTTTTTCACATGTTTGAAATTTCTTGAGGAAAAGTTATATGACTGATGACACAGTGTTTTTCCTCCAGAATTTCAAGTGAGACTACATTCTTCTTCTACTCTTCCTCTCTACCTAACTCTACTTTACATCTGAAAGTTCTATCTTGTGGAGGCAGGAATGGGGACATGATAGCCCCCATCCCTGCCCCCTAAAAGAAAACCCTCTAGTTCTCATCCTTTATCTTGCTAAATTAGAATTTTCAAACGTTATTTGCTTTATGGTTCATGTTGTCAGTGGCTCCATCCCTTAAATCTGGAAGGTTCTGCCTTTCCTCACAAGGAAGAAAAGCCTTTTTTTATCTGCTAGGTTCACTCCAAATCCTTCTCAGAACTTGCCGCTGAGCTGTCTCTTGTCTGTGACACATCAGGTCCCTGCACGTTTGTTGTACTGATATAGCCTCTCTACATTTTGATTCTCCGCTTATACTTAGCAATTTGTTGAGTCATCCAGCCCTGCACCGCCAGGAAGGTCAAATGACACTCCATTTCTTTTTCATCTACTTCGGGCAGCGCATCTTGTCTGACTGAAATTCAGAATAATATTAAAAGTGTTGACTGTCCTTTGTTCTGCAAGAATAACTTTTATGACTTGGGGCCTAAAGAGTTGTCAATGTTGATAATGTCTAGTGCCTTCTGAAAGTGATGGATGATGCCAGGTGATAGCCACTGGCTGAAAACAATCAGGATGGAAAAGGCATTTGAGAGAGACATTCTTGATATGGCATGATTTAGGAGATGATCATAGGATAAGATGTACTCTTGTTAATTGCATTACTCTACATCACAGATTAAGTCAGATTTGGGCCTTCTGAAGGCCTGAAATATTTGTTGTAAGACATTTATCTCTAACCTTCTTTTGATGAGCTGCCTATAAATCCAGCTTAATTTTATTTGCAAAAGAAACCTGACAACAGCTTTTCTAAATAAAGACAAAAGGGATCCCAAAGCCTAAGCGTGCAAAGTGTTTGCTTTGGATGAGTGTAGGGAGGCTGTTTTTTCAGCCAGTGTGTGTTTACCTGACAGTTTTCTGATAAGTAGTGTGGTACCAAAGCCCCACTTTGTGACAGTGCTAACACCATCTGCCAGGTGCAGATAGCTTGTTGAAAAATGCTGTCGTCAGCACTGAAGTGCTGATGGAAAGTTATTGCTTCAGTAACCACTAACATGCTCATATTCAGTCTAATTGGTTGCTGCCACTAAAAACTATTATTCAGGAAAAAAGATAGCACAGGTAATTTTTCTTTATCATAATAAATTTTAGGCTACCTTGCAGTGCCACTGTTGTTTATTTATTGCTTTCTTCTTCCTGCCAATTTTACTTATCTACACTCTAGAGTGAACTTTATTACCTTCCTACAATTGCTCTCAGTATCTGATTTGATGACAAATACTCATAGAAATTTTCATTAGACCTTGACATAGTGAAATACCTGTTAAGGATATTCTCTTTTCCAGGCACAGTGGGCCAGTCGGCCTCCTGAGGCAGGGGTGCAGTGCAATCATTTGAGTTATCTTTATTTGGTTTCAACTGTTACAACTGTATTTGTACTAGATGAAAACCAGGACACATAGTTTAAAAAAATTTAAACAGAAAAATTTGGATCATCAAGGAACTGCATAAAAATGCATTTCCTTAAGAGTAAAATATACTATGCAGGTTGCACAGCCATGCATGCCCCAGACATTCACTGATGGTGGCTTAGTAAAACAGAGAGCCTTCATAATTTTTCACTGCAGCATTGAGCTACTTAAGAAATACATGTGAAGAACCTCAAGTGTTTAGAATGGATGAGAACATAATGTCATATAACTGCAGCCAGAATCCGTTTTCACTTGCAACAGTGTAATGTGGACTAAAGCTATTTTGACTTCAAAATGCTGTACTGGAGATTATGGTTTTGCTTCCTATTTTTTGGCAGGATTTACCTTTCTTCTGCAGGATGTTCTGTCTTGCTTTAATGAAAGCTAGGATGTCAGCATCAGCCTGGCTGTCTCCAGTCAGAGGAATAGATGTACTTGAACTTGGTGGGGTCCTGAAATAAGAAAGTATGCTTGTGGACTCAAGTGAGTAAGAAGGTTAATTTTTCTGTCTCTTCTTTTTTACACCATAAAGGATTTTATTCTTTAGATGCATTGTTAGATGTGGCAGAGTTTAGCAGAGAATTGATCTCAGGACTTCTTAATGGTCTTATGTAGGCTCTTAAGATTAGTCACTATCTCCTTAGTGTGGGAAGGCTTCTTGCTTATCAGCTATAGACCTCTCACAAAGGGTTGAAAATATTGTAGTGCTGAGTCAAAGACTTAATTCCTAAGTGGAAAAGCTTAATGTAGTGAGTTTACCAAGGAAATGATGGATATGACTATGCCATGTGTTTTCTTGCTATACGTCTGAACAGATCAATAGCATTTTTGCCTACTGTGGGGGAATTAAGTTTTCATACACACACAGAAGTAAACAATCACATGGCACTCAGGACATCTGACAGACGCAAATCCTTTGTGCTGCTGAATCTCCAGTCCCAGCTGAACTCGTGTACCTACGAGTGCTTTTGACAGATCCTCTGGTGGTGTAACATGATGAAATCCAATGAAGCTGTTCTAATCAGCTGAGAAAGCTAAGAATTTCCACCTGCATCTTTAACCTTATTTAAAGATTGAGCACTAATTGGGAGATGAGAAATACAGCGACAAAAAATTATAATACAGAAGGACAAGGGGAACTGAAGAGAAAACCTTTTTTTACATATCATACCTCTATAATTATAGTTATTTTCACTGTTCCTTACTGACTGTAGCAGTAGGTGATTTGTATGACTGACATGCAACAGTGTAATATTCTTGTATTTGTGCTACTAGTTAAGTTCTCAGTTGCTAAATCAGTGAACCAAAATGGAAAACCAAAGAAGAAATTACTCTGATCTTAAAACTCCACTATTTTTATGTAATTTACAAGATAATTGCAGAACACCAATAAGGGACTATTCTTGATTGATTTGCATTTACTTAGCAACAATACAAAAAATAAAAACCCACAGTATATTGAGAAGGTACTCTCTAAATTCCATTTTAGCTTCTATTTTTCTTCTGCTTTTCTTAACCCCAAATGCAATTTAAACATTAGGTTTCAGGGGATGAAATTTTCCATAGTTTTTTCTCTGCTCTAGAAATGGATAGTTTTGGAAAGTGAAAGGAAAAAAACCCTTGTGCTTTCTTCTTACTAACACAGTAGGAAAAACAGTAACTTGACCATATTTTCCTAAGGGCACTGGTAGCCAGAACTGTTGAGCACAATAAGAATGTAACTTCTGGAAGTAGAGTGATATGGCAGTCATTTGGCATGTTTCAGTGAGAGAAAAGATTTGGCATAATGTTTCAATGGGAGAAAAGAACGTGGAAATAAACACACTAGAAAAAAATAGAGAGGCTCAAAACTCTAGTAGTTTCTGTTAATCTGATAAGCTAATTTTCACAAAGCAGTACCTCTTTTGCGAAAACATGACATATAACTTTTGCCAAGCCTGAAACTGTTGCCATTTTATTTTAATAGAATAATTTGTGGGAGATTAAAAATATTTGAAAGACAAAATCACAAGTATGAAAAAAATCTCTGTCTAGTTCCTGCATTCTACAATTCTTCAATACATACACTCTGATTTCTCTTATTTTTATATGTTTTTATTTACTCTTTCAGATTCCCTTTCTCTGAAAACTGGGAGGGCACAGTCATGAATATTCATAAGTTTATAGAGAAAAAGCTTCAAGCCAAACACGAAACCACCTTTGTAATACTGATGATGCAGCAGACTGGTGTAAAGCTATGTGGCAGCCTGCAGTTGGTTTGGAAGTTGGAGGAAAATCTGCAATTTGTAAAATATTTTATTTATATATTTCAAGGAGACTGTTTTTAAATAGACTGATGGGGGATTGTGAAGGCATTATATTATTTTGTACTTTGCACTTTCCTCTGAGTAGCCAAGGTATAGTTCTTACCTTGTGTTTAAAGTTGGGCTACCAAAAGTGACTGAATTGTTTTTCACAGCTGGATCTTCATTAGGGCTGTCTCTACTTGTGTCTGAAAAACTGAATGGGAAATGAAGGAAAATGAGGAATATAAAGAAAAGAATATAGCCCTTGTGTAGGCAATATTAATACATGATGTTTTTCAAGATTTTAAAAATCTATATAAAACACTTGTTTAGTGAAAGAAGATTTTCAGCTTAATCCATATGATGATGATGTTTATGTAGAGAATGTGGCTATAAAAGAATGACAAATACCTTCACAAAAAATATACTTTTAGTATTTTCATTCTAAGCCAGACTCGTAAAGCACTTTGATATATCCGTTGTACAGTTTGTAATGGTATATTTAGTTCTTAAACTGAGTATTAGCCAAGTGAGACCCTGGCTCATTTTCTATTATTTCTTTAGTCAGGCAATATTGTCATCAAAATTAGTGAGAGACTGGGTAAAAAATCAGTGAGGACTTTGGGATGGGGCTTGTTGATGATAGCCAAATATATTGCAAACAGCTGCTGTGCATTCCTGCCTCTGCAGATATCATTATCAAGGAAGCTCACTGTTAGGGAGGCAGTTTTCCACCACTGGATATCTAGGGATTCTCTGCTTTTCCTGGGGGTTGCATATACTGCCAGATCTGGTGCCAATCTTAGAGTGGAAAAAGTAAATTACTCAGTGTAAGGATTTTTCCAGTAGATGGCAGGATTGGCAAGTTCTTGCTTTTCTAACTCTGCAGTAGTTTGTTCATTGTTGGCTGATGAGTTGATATTTCTGGCAGAGAACTTGAAAAGGGAAAGAAATTTATTACTAAAATTTTACTGTATTACACTGTGCCAGGTTCAGTTTTGCAGAAGATATTGTGCCCAGGAGTATAAGTCATTTTCAGCTGAACAGCTCCAGGTTTGCTGAATGATTCTCTTTAACTCCTCAAGTCCCACACCATTCACACCTGCCTAATTCAACTAAAGCAATATCTTATTTAATGCCAATAATATTCTGTACTTTATTGCATCTACATATTACAAGAGCTAGAAAGGATGTGTGATGTTATTACCTACTATGTGGTTTAACAATATCTGGGAACCTCATATCGTCATTCTGCTTTAGGATTTCCTGAACAATTTTTCCACTTATTTGGCAGTTCTTAAAAACAAAGTGATTTAGTGTTTTAAATTCAGTTTTCTAAAAGGCCTCTGTGTCTGTGCCCTGAGATTCTGAGGCATCCAAGTCACATAACCGCAGTTTAATAAATTGCTGCACATCAACTGAACCATAGCAACCATCTCTGACTCTATTCTTAGCCGACAACAAACATAAAGTAATGTGACTTAATGTGATTCTTTTTCACTGCTTTCTTTTTATTAAAATAAGCATCTTTGCTTTCTCTTTGCCATGCACAAAATGTATAATTTTACAAATACTGTGAGTCAGCTGAAGGATTTTATTTTAAAGTTGCAGTAGTTTATATATTTGAACTACTTTTTTCCCCATTTAAATAAAAAAAAAAATTACCAAAAATTGTTAAATCCCCATTTGAAAGGGGATTTAAATTTAGACTGATTAAAAAAACCCAAAACCCTATATACTACAGGTGTGGCATGGTTAGAACTCTAGGGATGTCACATTCTAGTACATTCCTGGACCTGAGGACAATATAGCAAAACTTGCCCTAGGATGCTCTGGGAGAATTTGGCACCCACAGAAAGCAATATTAAAAAACACACTTAGACTGAGTGAGATGATGCCCAAAATCAGGAAATTAACATTACTGTGCTTAGAGATGGACCTTTTTCTCCTATCCTGTGCCTATGGGGTTGCAAGCAGACATCTTTATTGTGGGATGCAAACTGTTCTCCTGCAAGTGTTGGAAATTTATAAGGAAGCTTATAACTATTTTTCGAAATGACTCAAAGTTTTGCTTCCATGTAAGAGGTTAACAATTAACGTACTAATCTAACAAATGAGTCCATCAGTTTGGCACAACTGAAATCCATCTCTTATATCCTAGAGGTTTCTCTAATTCCTAGGCTAGAGGGATGGGTTGTATGGGGATAATTTGCATCTTTCATACTGAAGCTCTGATACTGATATTGCAAGATAAGTTGAATCATAAGGGGACAAAAGAGTGTAATTTTGCTGTGCAGTGGTTTGTATGTTCAGATGCAACTTGTTCCTAGCCTGTTCTTAGGAATCAGGACACTCCTTATTCATCTGAGTGTTAGATGCTGTTCTAGTAATGCAAAATAAAAAGAGAAATGTTCTAGTGATGCTTTAGATTTAATGGAAAGTCATTATGCTAGCATGGGGTGGAGGTAATGACACCCTTCTCTGTGTGACCAGCATGAAGTACTGGACAGCTCAGGATGCTCCTACAAAGCCAAACAAAACCATGTCTGACACCCTTTAGTGTGATGAAAGTCTTCTTCAAGCCAGGTGTTGATCTAGAGATCTCTAGAGGTGCCATTCAACATTTCTCTAATATGCAAACAGGCATTTCTGGATCACATTTTGGATTTGGGTGGACATACGAGGTATGTAAGTCCCGTGTCTGTCTGTTGCCTAAGCTTTAACCTCTAAGATTATTCAGCTTGTTTTGACAGTGTATAATTCCCTTTTTTATTCTCCATCTATCTGATTTTTCCTTGAGTTAAATTTAAGAAATCTCAAAGACTGTTTCCTGACAACTTCAGTAAAATTTCTGCTTTTTCTGGAGATTGAAGATAGTCTGTCAACTTTATATGTCTGTTTGCTTTTATAACCTAGTACCTGATGTTTCACCCAGTGGATAACTTTCTTTTTTGGGGCCTGGGGGGGGGGGAGAATCCTCTGTTAAGGGTGTATTTCTCAGTCAGGCATGCGGCAGGGGTCATAGAGATGTACAGGGGTTGCAGCAGCATTTCCCTTGCTGCAGGAACCCAAGGACCAGAGAAAACTGATCCATGGACTGATCAGCTACATCAAGTACACAGGGTAGAAGAGCTGCAGAGATGATGCATGGTCATGGTATGAGTGCTTAATTTGCCAGCTGAAAAATAATGGAAAATCAGGTAGATTAAAATGGAAATTCAAAATTGGAAGGTGTGCAACTTCTGTAATGTTAAGAAAACCTCAGCTGCAGTTGTCCGGTTATCTGAGTTTTAGACATGAGGGGAACAGATGTTCATTGTACAGACAGGAAAGATTCAAGCTGCCTAAAGCTGAGCATTTTAGTAGTTGGCTACAAAATTAAATTTGGCCTAACTTGCAAATTCATAAATAAATTGTTCCAGTTGTTACCAAAGAATGTGAAAACCTTTGAAATGTCACTAATTGATGATGTTATTCTCAGATTATGTTTTTACCATTATGTAACACTGCAGAAAATTGGCAGGAATAAAAAATTATTAGACAGAAAATGCTGTAAAATATGTAAACATTGACCTTGCTTCACACAACATTAATATAGGTGGTAACTATTGCAATCCAGGACAATAATTGTTAAAAAAATCTGATGCTCAGAGTCATCAGACAGCATGAAGATTTAGTTGAAAATGGCTCCAAGGAAATTTAAAGTGCCAGGAAGATTCTGAATAAGAAACAGAACAGCCGAGGAGTTTGAGGTTGAACATACTGTGGGGTTTGCTGGAATAGGACAAAGGAGATGCAGTAAAAGGAAATGAGTGAGGTTAAGAAAGATTAGACTGAGATAAAAAGGAATGCATTCCTTCTAAGAGGAGGAAAAAAAATCCAAAAATTTTATAAGATTTGAATAACTATCTAACTATTTATATGATTCAAAGGGAATGCAAGAACCGTTCAACACTACTGAAACAAAATGTTCAGTGAGAGAAGCAATTTGAATAGACAAGGATCTGATAAATTCCTTAAATGAAAGCCATTGTGGGAGAGACTGTATGAGGAGGAGCAAAAGGCTGTGCTTGAATTCCGAATGTGTTTAGCACATATGGAGTACTGAGCCCGACATGCATTTTCAGGCTTCTTGCAGACTTGACAGGAATCCATTAAGAGACATAAACATATATACAGTGTGAGTTGCAGGTAGCACCACAGCTTTCAGATCTCACTGACTGAGGCAGAAATTGTCACTATTCAACACTTTTATTAACATAAACTCATTCTGACACTTTAACAATTCAGCCATTTTTTCAACTGAATAAAGAGACACTATTTGACCATGAATCAAGTGCCTTTTAGGTGTGTGTATTCTTCTTAAGCCTCAAAAGGATTACCAGCCTCCCTTCTTTGTTATTTTAGTTATAAATTAACTTAGTATAAAATTTGAGTCTTCTCAAGGCTTAATTTTCTCTGGGAACAAGACTAAGGTGTGTCAAACAATAACAATGCACACAAGTCATACACTAGAAGGTGATCAAAAGACTTTGTTCAAACACACAAAGATTAGGAAAACACCTGTGTCTTTTGCATGCTGAGTTATATAAATCATTATTTCTAGCTTGAAGATTGTATGTACATCCCTTCCCATTCAGGAGTTTGTCTGAATGGTTTTACTGCATACTTCCTGTCAATAGCAGTCTTAGAATTTAGCCTGCTTAGTTTTAGATCTTATACTTATTGAACACACCTGTTAACTGAATTCCATCTTGGAAACAGGTTTTATTTACACCACATTATATCAAACATAATTTATGCCAGCTTTTGCTTTGGTGGCTGGTTATTCTGCTGGGTGGAGATAGCAATATCATTCCAAGGAAAGAGACGGTTGATTTTTATACAAGTTAGAAAAGCGAGAGCCATTTGTGTCTCAGGAAAAGAAGTGCCTGTAGCCTGGATTCCTTCTACTCCATTATGGGAAGTGGTAAGTAAAGTTGCTGTGACAACTGGGGACAAAGAAATTCTTGGGAAATAAATATTCTAGTATATTTTTCTTTTACTGTCTGAAATTTTAAACCATTAGTCTAAAATGTTATTGACTCGGGTAGGGGAAAAAGTAAATTTTCATGCACAGTGGGAGGTTAAGCCTGTAGCTCCTGCCTCAGAAAAAGCAGAAATACTGTTTCTACTTCCATATACATGCCACTGGAACAGTACTTGAGTAAAATATGTTTAAACAGCCTAACATAAAATAAGATCCATTTTCCAGTACTATAGGAAGGAAAGAGTGCTTGACTTTTAAAGATTATTGCAAGAATATTGACAGAGATGGGAAAATAAAACTACATTCATCCCAATTCCCTCTACAATTTTAGTTCCAGAAGATAAATATTTTGTGTCTGTGATATTTATGCAAGGATCATCCAGTCAGCCTCAGTCAATATGCCCATTAGACACAGAGAAACTGTTCACTGTAAGGAACATCTGCTTTTTGCAGGGAATCATGTGGGGCAGTACAGGACTCTGAAGTAAGCTTGGCAGCTGAAAGCAACCATGCACCTTTCCCCATTCTAGTCAAAATGCCAGATGGACTTTACTTAGACTTGTCCTCCAGTAATAAACATGAACAGTAAGGGCATTTGATAGAAAAGCTTAAAACTCATAAAGAAATCAGTTATGCAATTTTGATTCTGAGCCAGGGTAGGGAAAGGAGGATTCACCACTGCTGGAGGCCGGTTCCCCATTGCACTAGAAAGTGCCTGGGCATTAGCATATGCTCTTTTTAGTTCAAGAATTTTTAATTAGAATGCAAAAGGTATTGCTCTCCTTAGCAAGGCATCAGCACACCAATTGAAATTTGTTGTTTCCAAGGTCAGTGGGGCAGAAGGATTGTGCAAGAGGTGCTTGGTTCAAAGGACAGTACAGGGAGTGACAGTCATGGATGGCTCGAGCTAATTTGGCTGAATTTGTGCTAAGCTAGACCAAAAATGCTCTCATGTTCTGTTCCATGAGCTTTTCTCTGGGACAAGTAACCTTCAGCCTGAGACCAGAAATGAACAGCACAGATTAGGCCTAAAACCATTTGCGAAGTGATTAATGCCTAAGTCTTGAGAGGACACAGAATAAGAACCAAAGCAAAGTAGAGAAGACTGAAGCTGGTTTTCATCAGTTTGAGAGATCTGAAAATGTCTTCTCAGAAAACTTTAGAGGACTATGTCTATCACTTTCTGTACTGATTATGGTGCATTTACTACAGATACATGAAAGTGTTAAATAAAACTTAGAAGTTATTTTACAGGTTTAAGAAAACAGAAAAACATAATTTATGCAGATTACTGTAATAAAAATGTAGGTAAAGCCACTCATCAGAGAAATGTTAATTGCATAACAAGGAGGAGAGAGAGGCAGAAAAAGAGATCAAGAGAAAGGTGGGGAGGGAAAGAGGAAGAGGGAGGGAGAAAGGATGAAGGAAGGGGAGAGAACACCTCCATTTATTGTCCTTGAATACAGAAACCTTCACAGTCAGGCATGTGGTTTCTTGCACACTACTTTCCCTGGTGGTTATGAAAAACCTATTACTGCAAATTTAAATTAGAGGTTTTGAAATCAGAGGTGACTGTTGATGAAACAACCAAGATAATTACATTTTACTCCTGTAGAAGACACATCACCATCTTACCATATCAAATATAATATCATTGTGGAATAATATGCTGCATAAATGTAGTACTACGAAATTTTTCAGGAGCAAGTCTATCTAGGATATATATGAAATAATTTAAAAATCTTTTTTGGTTTTGAAGTCCCCTACATACATCCCAAAGGAGATATAGTCTCCTCATACACAAAACTGACTGCTAACAGGTTTGCCCTTCTTAGCTGTTGTGGGACTTCTAGAGAAAGGTTTCCAAGGTTCCAAGACCAACCCATCAAAAGATCTGAGGTCCGACCTTCAATAGGTCTTCCAAATAACTGAAATATACAATTTCATTTTCTACACAATTGTTTCTGTTGTAACTGAAAATGCAGTGTTTCAGTGTGATATTTGCAAAAGCATTCTAGCCAACTTCACTTTCATTAAAAGTGCATTTTTTCCCATGTAAGGAAGGAAGAGAAAAATAAACAATTTACCTGATAGGTGATAGGTGCTGCAAGGATCTGATAAACTGTGGATTAACAGTGACAGTATTCGGTGAGGCAGCCCTCTCTGGCTTTTCCTGCTGAGTTTAGATTGAAAATCAAAATTATGAGGCTAGAATTTTTTAAAAGTGCTTCATATGGGCCTATAAATTTCAGCAATAACAAGGTAAGCAATGACTCATTCAGAAAACACAGAGCCTGAATCACACAGTATTTTCTCCACTTGCACAAACACTTCTGAACAAAGAGGAAAGTATTTAGGATTGGTTCAAGTATTTTTAAGCTTAAGTTACAGGTTTTTAATATGTAACAGCATATGTTCACTGATTTCAGTTTCTTAGGGATCTCACTTATATAAATAGGTCAAGATCTAAGAAATCAATCCCAATTATGTTTTCCAGTTTTCTAATCTTCTACTGATGAATCATGAGAGGTTGAATTGTGGAACTCTCCTTTTAAGGGATGGAGAAAAATGTGCTGTTGTGTATTCAAGAATATTACTTGCAGTGCTTTGAAAAGGCTAAATATTTAGAGAGGAGGGTGACTAAAATATCATCCTCTTTGCCACCAATATGGTTAGGGATTTTAACTGGAAAAGTATTTGGTAATGCTAACTTGCAGTTAAGCTGCTTAGGTGGCAGTATATGGATAACTAAGTTCCCTATGTTTAAGTTCTGGATTTATTTTAGGCTGTTTTCTTAAAAATACAGTTTAAATTATACTTATGAGAACTAACCAAAATATAAGCTAAAATTTTCTTTGTTTATAACAGCCTTTCCTCAAGGAGTAAATCTTCTCTTCCAGTTAATAATAAATGATATGGGATGGACTGCACTCAGCATTCTTTTTCATGAGGCTGATGTATGTTTCATGGCCGAGCTTTGCAGTGAGTTGCTGTGTCACTACTTGCAAGTCGTTAAAAAAGTGTCAGAAGGGGAGCACAAGAAAGCTAGGTTGTTTCAGTAGAGTGTAGGTTTCAGACTGACTGTGTTATGGATTTCTAATACACTGGTTAAAATGACAGGTCTTTAGTTCATTTTTACACAAGTCATTGCCTTAGAGCATTTTGTGCTTAAACACTGGTGGACTTCAGCTAGAGAGTGAGGAAACACACTGTGCTGGGAGCTGATGACTCTCTGGGAGCCTAGGGAAGTTGAAAAGTTACTGGAGTCTTTGCAAGCAAAAGAATCTAAAAAGTAACTATATTTGCTGCAAAAAATGCTGATGAAACAATAGTTTTGCTAGCAGTAAAAAAGATTATTTTTTGCAATCCGATAATATTATTTCAGAGTTGGCATTTTGGGCCCATCCCTCCCTACTAATCAAGTTGTTTGGGACAACATCAAAAAGAAAATAAAGCAGGAAAAACTGGGTTTGTTTGATTTTTTAGCTTCACACAAGTATAATTCACATTATCTTTGTCCAGCTTACATTGGCATAAGTACAGGTGAACCAGACCCTGAATTCCATCGTTCACACTCCTTTCCATCTAGTCAATTAACTACTTCTTTAAGAAATGATTGAAGATATTATATTTATATGATAATGGAAGAAATACAAAATTATTTCATACCTCTAATTTTCTTGCCTCTTCAGACCACCAGACTTCAAATTCTTTTTGCAGCTTCATCTTCACTTTTTCCATAAGAAGCTGCAGGTGCTCAATCTCTACCTTCAGTCCTTTGAAGCGACTGTACACTGTTTTATAGCTAATATAAGAAGAAGAAGAAAGTGTATTACAGATTTTCCAATGTATATCTGAACAAAAGTTAATCCTACCTAGAACTGCTGGAGATTTAAACTATAAAATAATGTATAATAATCAGAGACGCAGAGGACACAGACAGATGGTAGAAGGAAACGTCTCATATTTTATAAAAGCTTCACAGGACAGTAAGTGTGAGAAACTTATTCCACAAACCTTTTATTTCATAAAGAAGTTAGTGAAATTCAAGTGGGATCAACATTGATTAAAATATGGGTTCAATCAACTATGAAAATTATCTCTTTTGAATCTCATCATGTTACCATTAATAAATAACTGGTATCTTGGATTCAGATAGGAGCCAAGACTGGTTTCCCTGTCAGATTGAAGCTTCATTACCCTCTTGGCTATGAGACATTTGGAGATTTACCAGGAGTATGAAAGAGCCAGAAGTTTCCTCAGAGATTGTGAATTACAAACGCTAGCAAAATACTTAATACTGATATACTTGTATCTATTTTTTTTAATCCTCCTGGCAAGGATTGGTTAACCAATGTGTAATCTGCGTTTTATTTACACTTAGTGAGTCCTGTATAACCTAAAGGTTTTCTTTAGGTCAAGAAAGGCAGGACTTTTCTGAATCACCCCAAAAGGCTCACAGCACATTTGAATTCAAACAACAAGTTGCAAACACTAATCCTCAGGGAGGACATTAAACTGTTTTTATTTATTTTTAACCTTTAGTTCAAGCATAAATTTTCCTCTCTCATCTACTGTGGCATCTGACAGACAAACCAACAGCATATACACAAATTTTGGACTATTAGTGAACCACAAAGCTGCTATTTTTAAAATGTCAGAGAAAACCCTGAGGGTAGCTGTGTGTGCAGAATTGTAATTGGAATATACTATCAGTATAATTTATCTTCTGAAGGATGGTAGAAATCTGAGGCAGAAATAGTACCTTTTTTTTTCTTCTTCAATTTGCATTCGAAGTTTCTCTTCTACTGGATCAAACGTTAGTTCTTCAGAAGGATTTGAAACAGCTATAGGATAAATGATCAGATTTAAGCAATGACTATATGGTGTCCAAAGAAGCAACTTCTAATTACAATAAAAAGTAGCTTTTAAGAGTCAGTTAATGAAATTGGGGTGATTAACCATTTCACTCTTCTGCAAATGCTTCTTCAAATTCCTTATTTAGGCCTTACTTAGTAGAGGACATAGTCAATAACTAGTGATTTGAATCAAATTGCTTATAATTAGATTTTATCGTCATTAAAGATTGGAACATTAATTTTAGATATAAATAAAAGCAAGTTAAACATTCATATTTGGCATAAAACACTATCAAATGTGTTCAACCACTTTTTGCAATGGTTTTGACAACAAAAACAAGACCAGAAGCTGCTGCAAAAAGAAGAGACAGCAGTAGCTCTTGACAGAGAGATTAACTTTGGAAAGCAATAAATTAGTATAAATAAGGAAAATATCCTGAAACTATGCAAGACAATTTTCAAGGTAAAGGCTAAGGAAATACCTTAAGAATAGCCTAAGTTAGCCTAAGAAAGCAGTTTATGATTTCCCTATCCTGTAACAGAGGTAGTTAACATGCAATACACAATGTGCTTTTTCTGAGAGATTGTGAAACAGTCCTTCCATCATGGTTTATGCATACAGTGGTGAAAGGAAATGTGAAGTTACCTACTAATGTTACAACAGTTTCTGTTTCTGGGATGAATGAAAAGAAAATATGTTTGACCTTTTTAACTCAAGAAAAATTACAAAAAATCAAAAGATTTGTTGTAGAACACATGCAAGTTTCCACCCTGACTCTTATTTCTGCCAAGAAAATAAATCCTTTGTCAGTCTGTCACAAGGCCTGAGGAGTGCACTCTCTCTTCAAGGAGAGGAATTCTGTCTGAATAAGAAGGCAGCACTGACCCCTCTCTGCCTGTCAGCACATCAGCTGAAACCATTAATCTTTGTACTAGCACCGTATAGCTTAATAGAGATGATGTTGAAAAACACTTTATTTCATTACTTAGCTAAAGCATGTTAAAACAGTCAAGGTGGACAAAGCCTATGCAAAAGTCTCATTTCATACATTGAAAGTTCTTGCTGCAGCTGATTACAAAGAAGGATAGGGTGAGTACATTTGTGGTGGGGAGAGTACCCTTTAAAGATAAAAATATAAACTGCTTGAAATGTTAAAGGAAACAAACAAGACAGGAGGCGGAGAAGATGACACAACAGTGACATTGTATAACAAGTTATACCTGAACATAACAGATAATAAAAAAGTCCTCATAACTGTTCCAGAACCTTTAAGGAAAGGAGCAAACCTTTCCACGATTACAAGGGATGAGGATTTTCTGATTTCTCACATATCATCCTCAAGAGAAGGCATAATGTGGGAAAGCACAGCTACAGATGGAACTTGTGTGGAGACACTCATTGCAGAGCTCCTGAGGCTTCATGCTTTTCTGATCTTCATGAACACACAGCAGCCAGGCTTGAGGGAAATGTGCTCTTGTGGAACAAACTAAAATGATTTAGGGAGTTACTGGCTCTCAAGTGAGCCATGCTCACAGACCATGTGAGAATCTTTATTATGTTTCCACGAATACTCCAGCCAGACCTAGTGAGCCAATTTCAGGTTAAAGGGGACTCTCCTGAGCACGCTGAATTTGTCCTATTTGCACAATCTTGTGTCTGAGTTCAGGAGGCAGCAGTTCTAGCCCCTTGTAATGAAGGGAAATAACACAGGGTGGAATAACACAGCATTAACATTAACATCTTAAAATGTTAATGCTGTTTCTGAAGTGAGTACTTCCCTACATGAAAACATCACCAAATTCTGATAGTTATTACAGAGTGATACAAGCCAGAGTATAGCTTTCCTTCCTTGGTTTATTAGGACATCTAGTACTTGGAAAAATATTTTCATATTAGCTCTGAAAGGTCAGCCAAACTTAGGCAAAATTTTGTCACTTGTATATAAAAACAGCAAAAGAATGGTTCTCTTTCTGCTGATTACATGCTGCAGATGGGAGTATTTGGTTGTATGTTACCTTCTGAAATAATAATAAAGCCTTTTGTATGGGTTGAAAAGCTTTATCATAAACAGGGTGCAGCATCCTCACCCACGAATACCAGTCTGCCCATTATCCCTAGCTGGTGATGAAAAGCAGAAGCACAGCTGTAGACAAGGTGAGCAGCAGAGTTTTGTGAATGGAAAGAGGTCAGTACACTGCAGGCTGTTGTGGCCCCAACAGCAGAAATAACATCAGATAAATGGCTAAAAGTTACATGTCCCTGTGCACCTCACTGACCGTGGGTCACAAAAGAAGAAGAGATCTGATCACAGTGTCAGGTGAAGTCCAGTAGTAAGTCAAGTCCAGGGCATGCCTGCCAAGGCACTGCTTTGCAAGTTTTTTTCCCAAGCTGTTGCAATGTCCATTTCAGTTTCTTGTCATGTCTGCTCATTGCAGCAATGTTTGTGAACTGAATAACATTCTTCTCTAAAGACCAGACCTTTGAAATATACCTACTGTAATATATACAAAGGATCATGGCTCTTTCCTGATGTTCCAAGCAAAAAGACATCTACATAATTTCAACACTTATGTTTCCTGCTACTTCTGCCTTCTCCTCATTCCCTGCTACTTCTGTTCTCCCCTCTCCTCCTCTTTAGCTTTCCTGATGAATCCCTGCAGTGGCCTCTTTCTGCCCCATGGCTTCTGCTGCCTCACACCCCTCTTCTCTTACCAGTTCAGGCAATTTCAGCTACAGCTGAAGAAAGGAAGCTAAGGCAGAGGTTACTGGCTCACTGTATCTCAGATCTAATGCTAGCATTCTTCAGTACATAGGCTCAGTCCTTTTAAAATAATGGTAGAGGGACACTGAATCGACTGTAAAAGATAAAAAAACCCCATACTATTTACTCACAAATTCAGTTTAGACACCTAAGAAAAAATTCCTTTGGCTATAGCTTTTTTTCCTCTAAAGAGTTTATTTTTATTGTATATATCTTCCTTCCCATGCAGAAACAGAAAATATATATTAACCACACATATACCAAGTACAGGGAGATTAAGAAGCACTGAAAAATCATGACAGCAGCTTTGCCCACGTACATGAAAAAATTTGCAACACATTAAAAGATGCAGTAGAGGTGCTACTGCTAAAATATTAATTATCAGATATAATTTCTGCAACTGCACAGAACACAAAGTGGTATCTACTTTGTTCATTCAGGATTGACTTTCAATTCATTGATTGACAGTTTGTCATATGAAACTCAGCTGTACAGTTTAGCTCTATGCTTTTAGTGCATTAGCTGAGAAGTTTTCATTCAGTTGGAGTGTAATATCACATGCACTTTTCATGCCCCAGTGACTTCTCCTGGGCAACGAATGCAGTTGCTGCAATTTAATCCTGGATAATGCAGCCCCAGGTTTCAGGGGTGCAGGGAGGTATGACATGCATGCTTAGGAAAACATTGGCTCGATGTATACTAGGAGCTTCTGTTGGCATCCAGTTCTGTACAACAGAACTATTTTGGCAGCAGTCAGCAACATGCTGATAAGGAGTATTTCTTTCTTTACATTAACATAACTGCACAAAGAGCTGAGTGGCAAAAATTATGAATCCTAAGTTGTGATGCCTTTTTCAAGAATACTGAGTCCTAAGATGTAAAGAAGAGACTGACAGTGCTACACTGGGTAGGGAAATAGCTGGCAAATTTGATGCTTACTTTAAGGCTAACTGGTTTTGCTTCACCTGTTTTTGCTTCATCTTCATATACAAACCATTTGGTGGAGTGAGCACAGGATATAACTGATACCAGCTGCCTGCATAGAGATGAAGGTGAGCTCTGCATGAGTTGACATTCATATGATAAAGGTTTGTAATTTTTGGTGCTTTTTTCTCATAAAGAAGATTTTAAGAGGCATTTTAAGATATAATTATTTTATTCTAATGAAATGGCCAGTTTTGGAGTACAGGAAGTAGTAAATTTTACTACACATTCCACATGATCAAATCACACAGTACCAGAGAGAAATTGTAGCACCTGCTACATGTAGCACTATTTCAAAGCCGTGTGGAAAGCATGGATGAAACACGCTATTTTTAGAATGATACCAAGTGTTATCACCATAGTTTACTGCAAACTGGCAACAACCTGAAATACTCTGGCAGATTCTTGTCTACAGTCAGAAAATTTTGCAAGAAACTCTCTGTGACCCTGAACTTTATACTCTCTGGGGTGCTCATATATTTCTCAACCTGAGTGTATCCTGGAAGTCAAACTCCTAGGGATTTATTGTCTTGTGCCTCAAATAACATTGTGTCTTGCCCTCCAGCTGTACTTTTGCAGTCAAATATTTTCATTTTTTTCACTGGATAGTCTTGTGTTTATGTACTTAAATTTATAGTCACTTGAAGTAACCAAATTTAGAATTGACTTTAGTACCCCATTAATATATTTACTGCATTATTTATCAGCTTTGCAGCTTTTGGCAAACTCAAGCATTAATGCTTTCAAAATGGAACATATGTTGTAAGTTGATTTTTTTTTAAAGGAATACCTTTAAAATCTATCATTATTCAGGATCATCTTACAAGTAATTCTCCTCTTTTTCTTTATATTTCCCCAGGGCCATGTCAGCCTATGTTTGTCACTGGGCACCACATGTGTACCTTATACAAAGATAAGTAGCGACAATGTAACTCAGGAGAAGATGAAAATATCCTAATGTCTGGATGAGTTTATATTGTGGGTTTAGAGCAATTTACATAACCCTCATGTAATAGATTTTTAAAATTTTTAGCCAGTTTGTCATAGAATACACTGAAACATGCTGCTCTATTTTCAGCATTTTACAACTTAACGGATGTGCAGGGGATTAAGGACGTATATTTTATTGATTTTGATTTTGATCACTGAATTTACTAAAAGGATCCATTGGTATGCTGCTTTTTTTTTTTTTTTTTTTTTTTTTTTTTTTTTTGTTAATTTTTTTTTTTTTTTTTTTTTTTG